TAGCTCCTAATGTCACTAGTAGTTTCCCTCATTCATTTTGTCACTAGTAGTTTCCCTAATTCATTTTGTCACTAGTAGTGTCACTAGCTCCTAATGTCACTAGTAGTTTCCCTCATTCCTTTTGTCACTAGTAGTTTCCCTCATTCCTTTTGTCACTAGTAGTGTCACTAGCTCCTAATGTCACTAGTAGTGTCACTAGCTCCTAATGTCACTAGTAGTTTCCCTCATTCATTTTGTCACTAGTAGTTTCCCTAATTCATTTTGTCACTAGTAGTTTCCCTCATTCCTTTTGTCACTAGTAGTTTCCCTCATTCCTTTTGTCACTAGTAGTTTCCCTCATTCCTTATGTCACTAGTAGTGTCCCTTATTCCTTTTGTCACTAGTAGTGTCACTAGTTCCTTTTGTCACTAGTAGTTTCCCTCATTCCTTTTGTCACTAGTAGTTTCCCTCATTCCTTTTGTCACTAGTAGTGTCCCTCATTCCTTATGTCACTAGTAGTGTCCCTTATTCCTTTTGTCACTAGTAGTGTCACTAGTTCCTTTTGTCACTAGTAGTTTCCCTCATTCCTTTTGTCACTAGTAGTTTCCCTCATTCCTTTTGTCACTAGTAGTTTCCCTCATTCCTTTTGTCACTAGTAGTGTCACTAGCTCCTAATGTCACTAGTAGTTTCCCTCATTCATTTTGTCACTAGTAGTTTCCCTAATTCATTTTGTCACTAGTAGTTTCCCTCATTCCTTTTGTCACTAGTAGTTTCCCTCATTCATTTTGTCACTAGTAGTTTCCCTAATTCATTTTGTCACTAGTAGTTTCCCTCATTCCTTTTGTCACTAGTAGTTTCCCTCATTCCTTTTGTCACTAGTAGTTTCCCTCATTCCTTATGTCACTAGTAGTGTCCCTTATTCCTTTTGTCACTAGTAGTGTCACTAGTTCCTTTTGTCACTAGTAGTTTCCCTCATTCCTTTTGTCACTAGTAGTTTCCCTCATTCCTTTTGTCACTAGTAGTTTCCCTCATTCCTTTTGTCACTAGTAGTTTCCCTCATTCCTTATGTCACTAGTAGTTTCCCTCATTCCTTTTGTCACTAGTAGTGTCCCTTATTCCTTTTGTCACTAGTAGTTTCCCTCATTCCTTTTGTCACTAGTAGTTTCCCTCATTCCTTTTGTCACTAGTAGTTTCCCTCATTCCTTTTGTCACTAGTAGTTTCCCTCATTCCTTATGTCACTAGTAGTTTCCCTCATTCCTTTTGTCACTAGTAGTGTCACTAGTAGTTTCCCTCATTCCTTTTGTCACTAGTAGTGTCACTAGTAGTTTCCCTCATTCCTTATGTCACTAGTAGTTTCCCTCATTCCTTTTGTCACTAGTAGTGTCCCTTATTCCTTTTGTCACTAGTAGTTTCCCTCATTCCTTTTGTCACTAGTAGTTTCCCTCATTCCTTATGTCACTAGTAGTTTCCCTCATTCCTTTTGTCACTAGTAGTTTCCCTCATTCCTTTTGTCACTAGTAGTTTCCCTCATTCCTTTTGTCACTAGTAGTTTCCCTCATTCCTTTTGTCACTAGTAGTTTCCCTCATTCCTTTTGTCACTAGTAGTGTCCCTTATTCCTTTTGTCACTAGTAGTGTCACTAGTTCCTTTTGTCACTAGTAGTTTCCCTCATTCCTTTTGTCACTAGTAGTTTCCCTCATTCATTTTGTCACTAGTAGTTTCCCTCATTCATTTTGTCACTAGTAGTTTCCCTCATTCCTTTTGTCACTAGTAGTTTCCCTCATTCCTTATGTCACTAGTAGTGTCACTAGTTCCTAATGTCACTAGTAGTTTCCCTCATTCCTTTTGTCACTAGTAGTGTCACTAGTTCCTAATGTCACTAGTAGTTTCCCTCATTCCTTTTGTCACTAGTAGTTTCCCTCATTCATTTTGTCACTAGTAGTTTCCCTCATTCATTTTGTCACTAGTAGTTTCCCTCATTCATTTTGTCACTAGTAGTTTCCCTCATTCCTTTTGTCACTAGTAGTTTCCCTCATTCCTTATGTCACTAGTAGTGTCACTAGTTCCTAATGTCACTAGTAGTTTCCCTCATTCCTTTTGTCACTAGTAGTGTCACTAGCTCCTAATGTCACTAGTAGTTTCCCTCATTCCTTTTGTCACTAGTAGTGTCACTAGTTCCTTTTGTCACTAGTAGTTTCCCTCATTCCTTTTGTCACTAGTAGTTTCCCTCATTCATTTTGTCACTAGTAGTTTCCCTCATTCCTAATGTCACTAGTAGTTTCCCTCATTCCTTTTGTCACTAGTAGTTTCCCTCATTCCTTATGTCACTAGTAGTGTCACTAGTTCCTAATGTCACTAGTAGTGTAATGTCACTAGTTAAGGATAGTGTTAATATGAGATGTGGTAACACTGATAGTAAGATTGCAGCGTGTCTCAGTTGGTATAGTTTTTCTGCTCAGTGGCCTGCTGTAATAGTACTATAATAAGTAGTGCACAGAGTGAGGGGTACAGGGATTATTGCTGCTTTCGCTGGTCTTATCAATAATAAGGTTTCCCTCTTTCCTTTTTGTCACTAGTAGTGTATAAATGTCACTAGTTCCTTTTGTCAGCGTGTTAAGAATTGGTACTGACTCCATGATAGTTAGATTGTTCGCTTTATAAAGTTATGAGATGTATCGAGGTTGACGCAGTATAGCTTTACACAATAATTTGAGAGAGTATGAGCCGGCAAGTTAATGATAGGTATTCAATCCGATGAATGACCGCGGGATTCTAAGGCCTAGTCCAGAACGAGCAATAATTTATCAATCCAAGAGATAATTATCATAGTTAATAATAATAAATTCCCATATTGTATATTCTCATATTGTATGACACAATCGTACTCTCCATATACGGCCGGTATAAGAATAAGCCGGGTAGCCTAAAGTAATAACTCAGCCCAAATCCCGTGTGGTGCAGGAAAGATCACCGGCGGGTTTTTTGCATCATTTTATACTTACTACATCATCAGTGTAAATATCTGGACTTGAAAAGTAACCATGTTAACTATTAACGATGTTAACTGAGATAATTGTAAGTTTGACTGTTCTTTGAAGAGGTCTTTATAAAGACCTCTTCAAAAAAGTATATAAATATACTTTTTTTTACAGATTTACTGTGTTCGGTCGGTAGTGAGATGATTTTTTCCCGATCCATGACTCAAAGTGCCGAAGGCACAAAAGAGTCAAAGACAAGGGTTAGCGAACGAGGTTTTTTTTTGTATATTTTAGCTTTGCGACCGCGTGCAAGCGTGCGTTGCATAAACAATAAACATACGGTTAGTGTTACGTAGAAATGTATACGATTTTCAAGTTTAATATGGAATTAACTGGGCGGCGCTCGGCCTATCACTCCGCCATATCTGCATGCTTATAAAGTATAAACAGTAAAGCCTGGGGTCCTTAGGTTGTATAATGGAATATGATAAAATACGCCATCACGGATCGGGAAATTGAGCGTCCATGATCCACAAAAGAAAAGCGGCCGCATTTCTTGTTTACGGTAGCGGCTTTGAAGTTGGACTAACTGAGCAAAAAGCTTTTAAATTTCTGTGAAGACAGTGAAATTGTATGTATAACGATTACTTTGGACTTATGGACTAGAAACATCGTGAATTTTCAAATTAGTAATGTCCATCATTTTCTATGGAATCTGTAAATTTAGATTGAACTATATAATTACGCTTAATTTAGACATAAGTTTGTCCACGGTTAGAAAAGTACTAAAGTAGACAGGCATCACAATTTTGAGTTATATTAATTGAGAATGTTGATCTACTTAGTTATTTACTTTATAAGTTGAAGTTTACAATAAATTAATACAACTTTTTGTTATTTTTGTTATGTTGCTGAAAATTTCGGCGTCTTGTGAAATGATAATTCGTTAAATTCAGTTAGATTAGGTAAGTACGTACTTTGCAACTACGCTTAAACCGTAAACGCCTTATCCTAACAAATAACCGAACTAGCAGACACCTTTTGTCTGCTTCATGTCTGGCTGATAAAGCCCCTAACCGAGTATGCACATTCCTGGGCCAAATTACAAAAATTTCGTTTCGTCTCGGACAGTACATTCCTTTTAAGCTAGCTTCATGTAATTGGTGGAATGTTGCACAGTTGTATAACTGTAAGAGGAGAGAAAGATGCGTTTATATAATATCAAACGGTTAAACTTGGGGCAAATGTAAAAGCTGCACTCCATGAGGAGAGAAACATTATAATGTCTCGCTTCAAAGATGCGTTTATATCAAACAGTTAAACTTTGCGCAAATGTAAAAGCTGCTACAGTCTACATTTGCTTACAGTTCGTTTGAGCTTCTGGCTGATAAATTGATGGAACTGTAATTCTGAGCTAGGGGGGAGGGAGGGAGGGAGGGAGTCGAGGGAGGGAGGGAGGGAGGGAGGGAGGGAGGGAGGGAGGGAGGGAGGGAGGGAGGGAGGGAGGGAGGGAGGGAGGGAGGGAGGGAGGGAGTTATACAACTAGGCTGTACACTCGAAACCGATAATTCTTCAAAAGTAGTTATCTGTTTTCGTAACTTTAAAGATTTATTGATTTTGTTTTTATTCAGCGCTATGTTGTAAACGTGATCCTTTTAAAGTTTTAAAGGCATCGGTCACCAATTTGTCAACACTCGAACAACATTTTAAGTTAAGATTATATTATATTATATAATTTGTATTCTTTTTGAAATCATGACATAATGCGTGCCGCGTGAGGCATATGAGCAAGCGCAGCCACCTTTTTCTCAACCGTTGTTGATTTATCTGATACGGTCCAGCTTTATTTCTCTGCTTTATTTCTTATTTCTTGATATCCAGTCTTTGTTCATTTCCAGCTTTATAGCGTCAAATGTATTATTAACAATTACAAAAACTCGATATTTATTGTTTTGGCAATGCATTTTTAACAGACTATACATAAGACGGCAATTCGGTACATAACATTTGTAGCAAATAATGGGAAAATCGCGATTCCGCACATGCCGCGATTTCCTTTTGTCCCTGATGCATGTTTGTCTGGATGTGGTTTGTTTATTTGGCTGGAACTACCCACAGTAACCTAAAAAGTATACATCGTTTTAAAAGTAGTATATAGCTTACATGTACATGCAGTGTATGTTTATATGTATGTGCTTTATTTGGTTGTTTGTAGCGACTATGGTTTCTGAAAAAGAACATCCCACGTTCAATAATAACTTGTTTGAAATCGCCGAACCCACTCAAAAGCAATTTCCCATTCACAACAATACATGACAGGGTTCATGGAGCCTGATGATGATATCTTCTATTCGACAGAGTACCCTCAAGGTAGTCAGATTCTGATCGGGATAGTCCTGTACTTGGTGTCTATATTCGGGACTGTTGGTAATCTTACCTTGATACTCGCCCTCAGGAAGAATAAGAGGTTAGTGTGATCACGTGTCAGCTTTTATTAATTAAACATAAAATTCGCTGATATTTTCTTGGATATTCTTAGTTCTTACTTGTTAGTATACTCATCGTCAGTTATTCCATCTTTTTGTTTCTTTTCTCTTTTTTGGTCCTTCCATTAATCACGTTGAAATCAGTAATTGTGATTTGTTATCTGATCAGGTTGAAGAATGCCAGCAACCTTCTGACCATTAGTCTGGCGGCCAGTGATGTACTGATTTCAGCTGTTGCCATGCCAATAAGTGGATACGCTGCTTTAAGTTTGTAAGTAATATTTTACTACACGATTTCGAAAGAATTTATTACAATGTTGTAGTGTAGTAGTGTTAAGTCGGGAGCATCACTGCTCCCTAAAAAAGCTAGTAAAAATATATAATCCACACCAGGATTATCCACATAAACCCCCAAACTGTATTCCAGCGACACAGAAGAGACTATAGATGACACCCACAAGTACAACCACACGCCCACGTGTCGGTCACGAGACACCACCCTCAGACTCTCCCCGTTCCTCTGTACCCTAAACGGGCTCATCATTTACGTGTCCAGTAGGATATCTACTTGGACTCTAGCTGGAATGGCGCTGGAGAGGTTCATTGCTGTAAGTTTATCGTTAATTGTTTCTCTAATAACTTTATAATAAGGAGACGGCTTGTCATCTGTAGGCGTTTTCTTTTTATGGTAAAATGGGTCAATTTTCTGAGAAAATTTAATGTGGCTCTTATTACATTATCTTTTTTAATTTATTAACCAACCTGTTAAAAACAATACAAATACAGTTAAATCTCAGGTCCTTCATCCTCTAAATTACAATAGAATAGTTACAAAGAGACGTATGTTTGTTGTTATCATCACAATCTGGATCATATCTCTTATAGTGGAACTACCCCAGGTTTGTTTAATATTTCTACTAATTGCTCATGTGTCATGTGCAACAGTCACTACTGTTATTTGTCTTTATTCTTTCATCTGTGTCCACAACGTTTTCGGCACCACACAAGATCTTAAGGCTTGGCGATATCTTAAGTTCTGAACAAAGATAACCTCAATTTCAAAAGTCTCTAAAATCTTATCCCCTTACTGCAGGGGGTAAAACGATAGCTTGTAGTAACCTGTAACGTACAAACTACAAGCTTTCAAAAATAATTTTTAATCATCTTACTATTATCTTATTATCTCTATCTAAAATAGTAATAATATGTAGTAATATGTAGTAATATGTAGTAATATGTAGTAATATGTAGTAATATGTATTCCTCAGATTTGTGTTTCCTATTAAACAATGAGTGTTTTCTTCTCAGGTTGGGGGCTGGTTCCCGTTTGTGTATTACCACAACGCCTTTGGGTGTCTCTCTCCTTCGTATCACCATATGGGCTACAAACACCCTGACTTTCTTATCTTCAGTATCAGCAAGAAAGTTATACTAACTCTCCTCCCAACACCATTAATAGGTTTGTTTAATGAAATAAGGATTGAAAATTTATTAATAGATTTTTTAAAATAAGAAACAATTAATATAGGCTTTAGATAGAAAGTAGAAATGTGTAATTATACAATCAAATGACGAATTGAATTTTCTGAGAAAATATCGTGAAAAAGTTCTGAATATTTATCATCTCTGTTATTAAGTTATTAAATGCGATTGTTATTGCAAATTTTTCTTGAGGAAGACAAACAAAACTCATCTAGAATATAACACTAGCCGTAAAGAATAAGCAAATCCCCAAAAGTTTCACTATCTATTTCAGGCTATTGCTACTACAGAATACTTACGGTATCCTTCAAAAACAAACAATCTGATGACACGTTAAGAAAAAGATACGTGGAAAATGGTTATCACAAATCTCGTATTAAACCAGGTAAACAATTACCAATTACATTTTAAATACGTAATAAGAAATATCAATTACAAGTTTTTTGAATTCGTTAGTAGATGAATTGAAAATCTGTTACAGATTATCTTTCTGTATATCACTGTACAGTTCCTCTTATGAAAAGTACAAACTCAAAAGAGGAACTGCGAACCAGCTGATGCGGGACAGGGATATATAGAGGGGGTTATCTGGCGTAGATCGCGATCGGACTTAGTTCCGACATAGTAGTAGTATAGTAGATAAATTACAGATTTTACCGTACTGTCACGCGAACATCAGTGTACATCAGTCCCAGGGCGAATAACTGGGGGTCTCCATCTCCATGAGCAGATCATTCTTTCAGTAAAATTCCTAAAGCTCTCGTTCATCACTAAATAGATTACAGGGTTGATCCACGCTGATATAAACATAATTGACCATGCAAACTCCGCAACTTCTGACGCCAAGTTTTCAATTCCATAAATGTAACAAATACAGAATGGAAGAAATGACACAATGAAGCTGATGCAAATTAAGATAACAATAAGAATGCGTTTCTTAACTATTGGTCGATCTGTCATCTTTACAGCGTAGACTAGAAGTGCCAAAGTAGTTGTCACCATCGTAACACACAACACGCCATCGAGGAATATCATCAGCACGATATTAACTGTCATAAAATTAAAACCCTCAGAGGAGAATACAAGGTATGTAAAGCAAATCTGGAGGATCCTAAGTCGCTTGGGTGAAGCTGCCCACCATGACTTCTTTCGTCTAACCATAAGGAACCATTTGCCCATAGATACAGACTCCAGCACATTGGGAGGGCGCTTAAAGCAGCGGCAATTAATGTGACAGTGAGTCTTTGTCGCCGTGATGAGGATAAATTTCTCAAAGGATACAAACATCTCAAAAGTTTGTTCAGCGATAGAAAATTGAGAAGAACAATGTTTGCAACCATGAATGAGTACCTGTATGTGAAATGGATGTAACAGAAGCTTTCGCCAAACATCCAGTTTCCTTTATATTGAGTGATCAAACTTGGTAGCAAAACTAAACAACTGTTGGCGATATCAACCACGCATACATTGATGATTATCCAAATCGACATCTTGTCCATTTTTATGGCTTTGTGGCACAATGTTGCATAAATCACAAATGTGTTGCCTATGACGCTAAAAAAGATTGTCATCTGATTCCAAATCATTTGAATTACGATCGTTTCTGGTCGTTCCATGTTTTCCGTGTTCATTTCTACAGTATATAACGCAGTAATTGTACAAGCTATAAATAAAGTATCATCAACATTAAAATAATAATGAAGTGTAAGACACAGCGCCCAGTTGCCGTTGGAGACAGCTATATCTACAAAGGTGGACCAAAATGTACTTAGTACTAAATGTACTAGGCTGGATATTTATTAAAGGCTCCACGAGAGCGTACCTACTGCTCTCGAACTAGGCTAGTACTTACCTCCATCATGTCCTCCTATGAATGAAGTATCATCAACATTAAAATAATAAAGACGACATCGCGGTTATATTGTTATTGTATAAAACACAAAATATAAATGGTAAAATGAAAATGTCTAATGATTACCGAATAATTCAGTTTGTTAGTTTAAAGGTTTCCCGACGTTTATCATCTAAACAATTCATGATGTTTGTGTTACCGTACCATAAGTGAGCTCGAAAAATTAGAACAGTGTAGGGAAAAATAAAACATCCCTGGGTAGCAAATTTTTGTAAGATACCAATATTTTACACTGCAAAAGATAAAATCACAGGTAGCAATACAAATAAGGAAGAAAATCCATTATCAAGGTACCACACGTCCGTCTTATTCACAAATAAGTCTTTATCGGTTCAGTAAAAGGCATACCTATAAAACTATTAAGGCTAAAGAGTGAGGTATAACTAATGACCACTGTCCTTAAAGTTAATCGTCGTTTTCAGGGATAATTTGAGGCAAGTGATTATCGGAAATTGTCGTAGAAAATTGATTTTTGTACTACTTTTGTAACGGGAAGCCCTTCACATTCAAACAAAACTCAGCTTTGCGCCAGATGATAGAAACTGTATTTGGCACAAATAAATGAACATCGGAACAGCTGTTCGAAAAGTTCTGAAAACCACATAAAAACTTTCAGCCATATCGAAGGGGCTATCGAAGCAAAGAACTCAGGTAATAAATTTTCTACACTCTTAATCTATCAACAAAGCCATACCTGTATGCTACTGCACCAGATGCTGTATATAATTGTTTAAATCCAACTATAAAGAGTAAAAACAAGTTATATGGAAAACCAGATGCTGTATGTAATTGTTTAAATCAAACTAGAAAGACAAGTTCTATGGAAAAATATTTTATATGAGTACGCCATCTGTCATCTGATGGTTTAATTAAATAATAAAGAAGCCTTTATAGCGTGATAAAACTGAACCATACAAGGGTTTCTCACTTTTTAGTTTTTAGCATCTCCAATCTAACTACAAATTTCTCCGACTCCAACTCCAACTCCAACTCCAACTCCAACTCCAACTCCAACTCAACTCCAACTCCAACTCCAACTCCAACTCAAACTCCAACTGTTATAGTTCTTAACTCTAACCTCTAACTTCTAATCTCTAACCTCTAATCTCTAACCTCTAACCTCTAACCTCTAACCTCTAACCTCTAACCTCTAACCTCTAACCTCTAACCTCTAACCTCTAACCTCTATTATAAGATAAACTCTCCGGAGACAAACCAAAGAAACGGAGAATGACCGCTGCTCACGAGTCGTTGGGGGATATTTTAGCAAAGACAACTCAGAAATACAACTGCTACAAGAAGAGTTTCATTTGGCTGATAATAGTCATATCTTATGTGATATGCTGGTCACCTGTGTCAAGTAACTATGACAACTTCTTAAATTAAATTGATTTTTTAAAGATTAGATTTAGTTTATGTTACTTGATGTTATTTGATTGATTCAAAAATTTGTTTTTATCAAATTGAAGCGTACACTTGTTTTTTATTTTGTTTTAAGTGTACTGTTATTCAGCTATTGTACTTAAGTAATTTAAAAACAATTTCAGTAACCGGGATTACGATGAACTTTTTGGATGCTTATTGTGAAAAGTATTACCCAAAGGGACTAATAATCACAGTATTTGTTATAGCTATTATGAACAGGTTAGTCATAATTTTTCAGCTTTATTGTAGTTTTGGCATTGATGCTACTGCTAGACTATAAATCTGTAGTTTTGCTGAGAATCTATTTTCAGCTGAAGTATTTATGAATTAATCATCATGCGTTTGTTTTGAATTTTTTAATAAACTTATTTAAATAATTTTTACAATAGAAAGATTGATATTGTATTTAAACTAACGTGTAACACTCACAGCTGTGTGAACCCTGTAATATACGGGTTTCTACATCAACAAATCAGAAGGACGTTTCTAGATATCCTCTGCTGCAGAAGCACACAATCTCGCTTACGTATAGAGCAACAACACGTAAGAACCAACCTTATTGGTTTTAATTTGGTCGGCTAGAATAGAGACTAGCTTATAATATACTAATATATTTAAAAAAACATGCTTTTAGGTTTTAGCCGTCCAAATCTCATCCGATAACACATGGGTTAACTAAACTTAGTGTTTGGGTGAACTAAACTTAGTGTGTTATACTTGTGCCAAAAATAGCTCAGGAGGAAACCAATATCCATTGGCATCAATTTGTGGGCAATTATGCACGAATTATGCAAAGATTATGAATGATAAAGTCATTAAAAGATTTTCTAAATATTTTATCCTTTAAAATTAATGATTTCAACATTCTCAAAAACTCCTCGTCAGTATTATAATAATGTGCAACCTACTTCTAAAACTCCCTAAACAGGAATACCTGGGACAGGACACAGTTACAGTTGGTTTGGGAACACGAGCTATCAGCTCAGTCTACCCCACTGATGTGGTGGAGGTGTCATCAGAGAAATCAGTACTCTCCAACCCTCTCACTTACACGTCCTCCTCTAAAAACACTGATAAATCCTCCTCTAAAAACACTGATAAATCCTCCTCTAAAAACACTGATAAATCCTCCTCTAAAAACACTGATAAATCCTCCTCTAAAAACACTGATAAATCCTCCTCTAAAATCACTGATAAATCCTCCTCTAAAAACACTGATAACATTGATAAATCCTCCTCAGTTATTGACAAGACCTCGTCTCTGAAAAACAGCAGTGCCGTGTTAGTTAACCATGACAGTAAACCATTGTTTGACAAATCTCTGGTACTTCCAGTAGTGGAGAGGATCGAGTTTTAATGCTGTGTAGAATAGAAGGAGTTTTAAAGTAGATGTTGCTTATGAGTAATATCATCACAGGGTATTTGGTTCGGTTAGTTTTTTTACCGTAGTTATGATTATTATTAATAGCAGAATAATTTATCGTTAGCTCAAAGGTCTTGGATTAAAATATAAAGTTTTAATCACCAATTTAATGACTGGATCAGGCAAGTTTCCATAACTAATTTTTTGTGATCAGCGGTAATAACCGCTTTTTTTACGCTAAAAAAGCGCTTATTGATAAAACCCACCGTTATTTGGCGATTATAAAGCGATTATAAACGGTCCCGTTAATAAACGGTTAAAAACGATTATAATCGCTTTTTCCATAAAATATTTTTGCAAAGGCGATTATTAGCGCTTTAAAAGCGATAATAAATCGCGAATTAAAATTATTAGTGATAAAAAAAACGCTTTTATTTTAGGGTTGTCGATTATTATCGCTCCGTAAGCGCTTTTCAAAAAAACGCTTATAAACCGTTTTTTGGACCGTTTTTAAAACGCTTTTAATCGACTATAAGCGATTATATTCACTAGGGAAAGTTCCAAATTAAAAAGCGCCTACTAATCGTTAAAAAAACGCTTTTTTATTTTAAGTTAATAAGCGGTTTAAATCGATTATAAAACGATTATAAGCGACAATAAGCGATTTTTTGAAATCTGCTAAAAAGCGATATTTTCACTATGATCAGCGCTTATAACCGCTTTTCTTGAAATTTTCCTACTGAAAAGCGTTTATAAGCGCTTATTTATTTGCTGTCTATAAGCGATTATAAACGATTATAAGCGCTTTTTTACGTATTTGAAACGAGGAAAAAATTGTCAGGTACGAGATATTATAAGCGATTATAAGTGATTATAAAGTATCGTAAATGTTATTGTCTTCAATTGTCGCTTATAAGCGATTATAAACGATGAAAAGCGCTTTTTGACGCATTTTAAAACTATGATCAAAATATGTTTTGATTTGATTTATTTGGGGTATGTAAGCGATTATGTAAGCGGGGTATATAAGCGATTATAAACGATTATGAGCGCTTAATTTTTTATGTATTTGGAACGAGGACACAATTAACAACAAAATTACGCGATATTATAATAATAGTCCAGTTATTAATGGACATTTATGGAAATGAACCTGCAAATTTTCAGATACTCACGAAACTTTGCACAGACCTTCCAAAAGGTATGAATAAACGATTTTCGGTTGGAGACATTTTTTACCATGGGGAAAACCCAGGAGGGCCACGCCCATATTGATCCAATAATGTAACTGACCCTTTGCTTCTGAAAGTCGTAGAGACTTCAAAATAGGCTTAAACGAAGCCGCATATGCATGTTTATATAGAAGTTATTGATCAACACATGGCCTAAAATCCTTACTTTTCGAGAAATTCGCCAAAAACCAATTTGGGCGTGGCGCTGAGCCCATTTTACTAACTTTTGATATGATTGTGATAGAGTCTTCGGATAGAATGCAAAAGAACCGCAATTGGCATATTTATATATGACTTATGAAGAAACATGTGCCTTAAAGTGCTTACTTTTTCAGTTATTGGCGAAAAACTGATTTTCGGTTCCAGAAATCATGCAAAAATATGGGTATCTGGTATTTGAGGGCCCTAGAGATTTTTGAATGGGTGCAAATTGTGCAGAATGGCCATGTTTATATACAACTTATGAAGCAATATGTACCCTAAAATGCTCACTTTTCGATTTATTAACATAGAACGGGAGGCAAAAATGGCTTATATATAACCAATTTTGCTCTATTTCGTGAAAATTTTCTCTGGTTTTCCCCCAAATAACTCGAAAAGTGAGCATTTTAGGGTACATATTGCTTCATAAGTTGTATATAAACATGGCCATTCTGCACAATTTGCACTCATTCAAAAATCTCTAGGGCCTTCATAGCTCAATTTACCAGATACCCATATTTTTGCATGATTTCTGGAACCGAAAATCAGTTTTTCGCCAATAACTGAAAAATTAAGCACTTTAAGGCACATGTTTCTTCATAAGTTATATATAAATATGCCAATTGCGGTTCTTTTGCACTTTGTCCGAGGACTCTATCACGATTATAGGCCCCTTCCAGCCATTGCCACCTGCCACCTAATTTGGCAGGTTTTACATTAAGACTGATAATCAATTTGAAGTCTTAAAATGATTCCTGCAAAATTAACCGAAAACCTGCCTATTTATCGTATTCGTGCAGAGATTTATCTCACGTAATTATTTAATCGAGTTGTTGATTTATAGAAAAGCCTGCAAAATTAACACAAAACCTGCCTCACCTTTCACCTACTCTCGGCAGGTTTGCTCTATTTTGGCAGGTTTTCCGTTAAATATAAAGTCGAATGCTGCAGATTTAACGCAAATCCTGCGTAAGTTGAGATAATTTGAATCAACTTGTGGCGTGATTAAACCTATATTGGCAGGGGTTTTGGATAATTTGAGTGTACAATGTGGAATACTGTAATGATCGTATATAACCTTATTACTAGGTAGGGTGTAGGACTGAGACTTGGTTTGTGCAAAGCTACAGAAGTACAGAATGCTACAAGTACATGCCTACATGGCTCTATAGTTTATACTTTTATACATGCAGTCACTAGTCAGTGGCGAAACGACCGCCCGACACTCCGGCAACCCCTGCTATGCGGAAGGGGATGGGGGGGGGTGCAGCTGCGGCCTCTTAGGTACGTTTCGCCACTGCATATTATCCACTGTTACCAACACGGGGTCTATGATAAGTTTGAGTATAAAAGTACATATAAAAACCGATTATTGGAAAATAACTGTTTGCTTAACTTCAGTTCTTAGGTTGCCATTTTTAGATTAGATTGCTATGTTCTTAAGTAGTGAGGACAGCACTTTTTCAGTTGCAGTGCCTCTACCTGTTCATTGTTCACATTGTAAGATTTAGTGAATGAAGTGATTCTGAAAGAATCTTCAATTACAATTAATATAATAGTTCTAAATATGCAGTTATTTTCAGATTATGAGATATTTGATCGGAAATTTGTCACACGTTAAAGTGACACTTAATAAGTTGGACCTTAATCGAAATTCGTATTCACGAATTGGAAATAGCTCGTACTATAATTTATAGGTTGACCTCCCACATATGCTCTAAGTGGGAGGTCAACCTATAACTCAAATTATTGCTATTTACCAATATTAATTGATCACTGATGTGGCACTTTCAGCGGAAAATTAGTAATAGAAAGCGGACAAACCAGTTTTGGTGAAGGATGTATATCTTATACTCTTATAGTAGTTGTACACTGTACAGCAATGCTAAGGTAATGAGGTAATGCTGTAATGGGACTACTGCGGACCCTCTACCGGCCAAACATATTATCTCATTATTGAAGGGTGTAGACTGTAATATAGATGTAAGAACTTGCTAAATTGGGAGGTGACTGTTTTAAAATGATCAGATGCTTGCTTAGGTACTAACTTATTAAGAATGAGAGGTGATAGTGATTTACTTTATCTTGACAGGACAGTTAAGTATTTAAGCTTAAGAAACCACGTGGAGCTAAACGGTGCAAGTGATATAATACTTGAAAATTGACCCCCCCCCCCCCCCCCCCCCCCCCCCCGACAATTGACCAAACAAATATATTTATTATACTAACCCTAACAGTAACCCGATTGGGCGACATCTGTCCGACAGCGACATCTGTCCGACAGCCGAATTGGGGAGTTCGGACAGATTTCGCTGTCGGACAGGAGTCGTTTTTGGCGACATCTGTCCGAATTTCGGATCATATTGTAATTTCGGTTCACATTCGTATTTCACAAACTCACGGGTAATTTCGTGACGTTGCTCCCATTGTTCGAATGCTGATTTGATCCATTGAGATCTGATCCATCGATACGTGATTGACTATTTAAGGACAGGATTGTGCTAGCCGTACACTAACAAGCTGTCGATCACATCACAGGACACAGCCTACATGAGTACATATAGGATAGCAGCCGTATGGAGATCAGTTATCGCAATCCACAATGGCAACCAATCTTCAGTAAACAGACCCAGATCTGCAGCAAACAGACCCGAGAGATCTGGAAACGCTATCCATTCCTGCAAACTAAATCCTCTCTACCGACAACAGTCCAATGATGCTCTGGGACTCTGGATGGGACGAACAGACTCGTCGATCATTCCTTTTGGGGACTCCTAAGAACGCAGATCATATGGTGGACGCGGAGCATTGCGTAGTCAACGCCCAACGGTACCTTCAAATCCGCACCTAATCTCTTCCATCAGCTCTTCACAGTCCACGGACTCTTCCCTGACGGCTGGCACCTCCCCCTCTTCTAAGGACTCATTCCTGGAAAATCGACGACCCTCTACCGCAACATGTTCGAAGAGATAGACACCTGGGCTTCTGAGGCCTTGGGGCTACCAACCACAATACATTCTCATGGACTACGAGCTCGCCATTCACAACGCAGTTGCTTCATGCCTGCCTGCCTAGGTCGAAAATAAACTAGTAGTACACTATGGCTCAGATCATATCTCAAATTGGCAATGTTACGTATTCAAATTAACAGTTCAGATCACGTCTCTAATTGGAAATGTGTTGTATTGAAATCAGATCACAATTTCGGACAAATGTCGTTTTTTCTGGTACCCTGAGTCGGACAGATGTCGCTGTCGGACAGATGTCGCTGACAGGAGTCGTGTTACCCAGTAACCCTAACCCTGACCCTAACCCTAACCCTGACCCTGACCCTGACCCTAACCCTAACCCTAACCCTGACCCTGACCCTAACCCTGACCCTAACCCTGACCCTAACCCTGACCCTAACCCTGAATTGACCCCAGTGTAATTACATGGGGGGTCAATTGTCGGGGGTAGATTGCATCAGGGGGTCATTTGTCGGAGGGGGGGGGGGGGGGGGGGAGGGGGTCAATTGTTGCGGTACCGTACTATATAAGTATATAGCGTACTATACCTCTC